TTAAATTTAACAGATCCTTATTACAAATCGATTTTAAAGAGATTCTTGCCATTACTAATATTTCCAACAATTTTAATCCATCCCCAATCCCTCTTCCCCATCAACTACAAATTAATATTCTCTTGAGAGAGATACAATTAATTCATCATATTGTAACCCGGGAAACTTAAACCTCCGGAAATTTTAATTTTAGGCCGGTTAATTACGTATATACCACAGAAGCCTATTTTTGGTTAGCAACAATCTTTGCTTTATTTGGGTTAAAGACTGTTAGGAGCGATTTGTCTTAAAAGTCTTTTCTTTATTTATGTATTTTAATAGTTTATATTATTATAAGACCTAGAAGTCTTAAATGAAACATAGTGTAAAAGAAAGTATATAAGCAATACATTTCTGCTGTTTAATAAAGACATCATTTTCATACAATTAAACAAGCATTCCTTAGCTTGTCTTTGGCCTACTTATACAAATTATTCGTAACACTACCTTTACCTTGATCTTTCCTAAACTAAATTCTTGTCTAATTGTTAAAATTTGATAAACTATAACCGCTACGCTACCCAAAGGTTACTCTTCTGAATTAGCCCAAATTAGACTAAGATCACTTTTATTGTCTTCCCGATACAGACAACCCTTATTGTTATCTGAGTTTAGCGCTATTTACTACCTTGGTTTAGGTTGATTATACTAAGCATTATATCCTGAAAAGTATTATTGACACCTGATTTCCTTGCGAATTGGTTTCTGTAGTTTGAGTATTGATAATCCAGAGCTTGTCACGTGTTTGTTGTCCAAGGATTGCTGAAGTCTTAGAACTAGTCCACTTTGCCAAATCTAAACGTCTCTTTCGATAAGGTGGTCCAGTACTTTGTTAGATTAATTTTGCTGGTTGATTTAACTCCCGGAAAACCCAAATTTTTCCGTGCAACAATATTATCGAATCTCCCTCTTATCAATATGAACTTGTTCAAATACATAACTCTATACTAAATTTAAACCTATCTAACTTTCAATTTGCTACAGATGCTTCTATTTAAAATCTTCAATCTACAAACATACAATCTAGTATCGGCTGGATTTGTGGAAATGACACATTTATTAAATTCAATGCTGCAATTAACCCTTCTCCTGACTCCTCTCACTCAGAAATGATAGCAATCATCCCTCTCTTACTTGTTATCCTATTTAACTCTACTACTACCATATATACTGATAGCCTAATAGTAATTAAAAACCTACTTAACCCCTCTTCCAAACTTATCCAACTCAAAAATTAGGATATAATTCATATTATTAACTCAATTAAATTTACAAAAAATATTTCTCTTAATTTTATTAAAGTTAAATCGCATTCAACCAACTCTCTTAATAATCAAGCTGATTTATTAGCTAAGCAAGGCTCAGTCAAACCCCTTTTAACAATTTC